GGGTTTGGGAAAATGTGTTCTCCTGGGGTGAGGAGAGCTGAACCCTTTATCTCTAGACAGCAGACAACAGCTGCCTCTTCCTGGGAGCAGACCCTGTGTCTCTCCTCACACTGGGCACATCACAGAGGTGGCCCTCGTTTGCAGGTGAAAGAGGAGTAGGCCTGCCCGTGTCCTCTCTCCACTGCTCCATCCTCACTGAGTCCTGTATCATCTGTAAAATGTCTACATGATTGTGACAGACATCCACAGACACGTGGTGGCTACTACCTCACGTCACAGATCTGTGAATTAGCCAAGACAACTGTTCTCCTCCTGACTTGACAAACAGATGTCAGTGTTTAGTCCTGGGTCTGCACTTACCTGTTCTTTTGCTAGACTCCCCACCAAGAATGCTTTTTACATTTTTTAAGTGGTTGGGGGAAAGATCGAAGAAAGAGCATTTTGTGACATGAAAATGGTGTGAAAATCTGCCCTCGGTGTCCTGCAGTACAGGCCCACCCGTTGACACAGCATCTGTGGACACAGCAGAGCAGAGAGGTGCCTCAGAGACCAGGAGACGTACCGTTTGGACCATCCCAGGAAGAGTTATGCCTAAGTCATAAGTTCACAGTAAAGACCAAAGTTACGCTCTTCGGGCTCTTAGGGACGCTGCTTCTCGGGGCCTCTGGAGCCATCTGGATTGTCCAGGCTGGATTATTATTAGTACCACTGACTGACCCAAAAACCTGGTGTGGGACTGAGGACTCACTCGAGCTTCCGAGCTCTTGTGGATGACAGCAACCAGAGCAGCCAAGGAAACAAGTTGTCAGGTTATCACCAAGAGCCAGGAACCAGGCGAGTAACAGGACTGTGTTGGCCATACTTTTCATGGGAAAAATCCAGCAACTTTCCAGCTTTGAACTGGAGGGTTGTTATGCAGGTCATAGGTCCTTTATTCACAGACCATGAGCAGCATCTCCACACCAAACCCCTTCGTGGTTGGTTTTGTGTGTGTGCGGCAACATGCCGTGAGCATGTCTCTCGTACCCGGGCTTTACACCAGACCCTGGTGATATGCCCCATTTTCTGAGCTGCCCACTCCGTCCTTTAAAAATGTATTTCCATCATTTTTATTTTACCACAGCCTCTAGTTTTTGATGTGTTTAAAGTGTTTAGCTCGTGATCCATGTACCTTAAAGTGATCTCCTGAGCACCAGATCTAGACAGACCTTTGTATGAACAAACTGGACTCTGGTGGGGAAAAATCCCAAAACAACCCCAGGGGAGGATTCCATCATGGAAAAGGGTAGGGCTGTGGTCTTACAAATACAAGACCCATCAATGTCCTCAAAGCTCATCAAGAATGAAGCTGTGTTTTGGGAGTCTGTATCCGCTCACTGCCTGCTTCCTGCCTGCCGAGCAGAGGCTGATGGCTGCAGTGCCGCCTCTCAGGGGTCCATCTGTCAGTCACGCTCGTTCCTAAGTGGATGCCACACATCCCTTCCTTTACTGGTCCCCAGTCCGTCAGACCTTTTATTCTTCTGCCATGCCGATATTTGGGGGGCCCAGGCTGAGCTCTGCTTTTTCAGGTGCTCTGTTGAGTATATAAAAAGCCCTCTGTGTGTCTGTTGGACTAGACCTCCATCCTAAAAACCAGCGGAAAAAAAAAAGGGCAGAAAATTCAGCCAAATCTTCATCCAGAATGCCTGGAGAAATGCACCATCTATCGCCATGTGAAATCCCTTTCATCTGACCACATACATAAGCCTGTGTGCTCCACCAGACTCGGCAGGGATGCGAGAATTTTCCTTCGGCTTTACTCAGAAGACACCAGTACAAGGCATTCCCGTGTGGTTTTGATCCGTCCCCAGAGGTTTTCTGTAGAATTCATGTAGCTTTAAAGAAAGACAGGCGGGATCACTCAGGTGGCTGTGTGAACCTAGTCAAAGAATTGTTGTTGTTGGTAGGTGCCATTTGGCCAATCCATCTCATTGGGGGTCTTCCTCTTTTTCTCTGACCCTTCGCTTTACCAAACATGATATCCTGCTCCAGTGACTGGTCCCTCCTGACAATATGTCCAAAGTATGAGGTTATTGAAAACACCATGGCTTGGGTCAGGCACACCTTAGTCCGCAAGCTGACATCTTTGCTCTTCAACACTTTAAAAAGGTCTTGTGCAGCAGATTTACCTAATGCAATACGTTGTTTGATTTCTTGACTGCTGCTTCCATGAATGTTGATAGTTGATCCAAGAAGAATGAAGTCCTTGACAACTTTAGTCTTTCTCCATTGATAAGAATGTTGTTTATTGGTTCAGAGGTGAGGATTTTTGTTTTTTTGACATTGAGATATAATCCATACCGAAGGCTGTGCTCTTCGATCTTCATCAGTAAATGTTTTTAAATCCTCTTCACTTTCAGCAAGCAAGGTTATATCGTCTGCATATTGCAGATTGCTAATGAGTCTTCCTGCAATCCTGATGCCATGTTTTTCTTCATAGACCTAGTTTCTCAGATTATTTGCTGAGCATACAGGTTGACTAAGTATGGTAAAAGAATACAACCTTTTTGCACACCTTTCTTAATTTTAAAGCTTTCAGTGTTCCCATGTTATTTTTCCAAATCCATATAGTGTCTAAGTTAGCTTGAAGCATGTTAGCCATTTCTGCCACTTGAGAGTTCTCTTAGGGTTGCTAATCCCCCTAAGGTTCCAAAAAGTGAGACCGTCCCTGGGGCTGTTGTTACTGCCCTGGTCATCTGTCCTCCTCCTGACAGCCCAGGGTACCAGTGAAACAGGGCAAGGACTCCCCAGAGTTCCCCCAAACATGTCTAGCAGGTTCCCTGTTTCAGGGGCTGTACTCTGTGTATAGTTTGAGGCTTACTGCTAGTGCTTAATCACTGTGGCAGGCGCTGGTTCCATGCTGAACAAGACAGTTGAGGTTTCTTTTCTGAGAGGTGTGCCTTCAGAAAGGTACTAAGACCAGAGAGCTGTAGGTGTTGTGAGGGAAAGAGCAGGGAGCCAGGTGACTCGTGAGAGAAGGGACAGCATTGGACAGAGTAGGGGGTCTCTGAACAGGTGGCCCAGCACAGTGAGCCCTTTTCATTCAAGTAACAGAGCCTGTTGGATGAGGAGTGGTGGGACAAGCCTATTAGTGCCCCCACCCCTATCCCAAGACACACAGACACGTACAACATGGAAACTTCAGTATGCGTGCTGGTGGCATGAGTCCACAATGTGTCTTCTGCAACGCACAAAGCCAAGTCCAAGCGTGAGTGCACCAGAGAAGCCAGGGGAAAAGAGCAGGGCAGGCGGCGGTTCTGAGTCTGTCACACCAGGACCCACCAAACAAGCACACTGGCTGCTGCGGTCTGCAGAAATTCCACCTGGGCTGCGAGGACTGTCTGAAAGTTGCTCTGGTTTCATTCTAGAAACAGCAGGTGAAGAATGCCAGTCTGCTGTTGGACTTGCCTCCATCACTTTTGCCTAACATCGGCTCTTCCCCAACTTGGTCCTCTTGACTACAAGTTCCTAAAATGTGTCTAGCGTTCTCACAGGGACTGGTTTTACACCAGCACACAGCTGCAAGGCGCTGAGACAAGAATGGAAGGTGGAGGGCAGATGAAAAATTTCTTAGTGACTATGTTTTCTCTAATCTTGTAATTGGTATTTATAAACATGCAAGAATAATGGAGATATCTACCTGTCTAATAGGACTTATGACCAGTCGAAAGTACACCTACTGCCACCAAGTCAGTGCGAGTCAAGCCTGTAGGATAGAGTAGAGTTCAGAGAGTGAAAATCTTCCTGGGAGCAGCCAGCCTCCTCTTGCTCCCTGAGTTGGGTGTGACCCACTTGCCGCCTGTGCCAGCAGGCCCCCTTATGAGTAATCTACAGATGTTTAGTGCCTCAGGGAGAATTCACTTACTGACTTTACATCCTCCCTGCTGAAGCGCATCTTACTTCACCCCTGGGAACGATGAACTCAGATTATGAGTGAGGCAGGTGGGCATCCTCAGGTGTGGTCACAGTTGTTAGCCTGCTGACTGTAGTCCATGCACATGGCCTGTGGCTTGGTGTATGTGGTGTTAGCATCGGAAGGACGTAGTAGTGCAGAAAGCACAAAGAACAGAACTGGCAACTCTTGGTTTCTCTGGGTCTCGTGGCCAGCACAGACATCGCAGGAGAGGAGCAACTCAGCCCAACTTCTTCCAGAAAGTCACACACAGACAAGGCCTAGGTGACTGTTGGGTAGAGCGATCATCTGGCTTGACCATTGATGAGGTGGTGGATTTTAAGCTGCTGTGGTACCTAAAGGCATAAAAGGAAAGCACAGGACCCCACTGACATCATCACTGACGTTAGCACATCCTGACAATGCTGTTTGTTCTTTGTGTGATTCCTTTTAGCAGATCTTTGACCTTTTGGACATGAATGCGGTAATAAATGTACACACTTCAAATACCTGAGTGGAAAAATGATGAACGAAAAATGTCTGGGCTACTATCTTCCCTGAATAAATGAAATAATTAGCCCAGTGAATCACCTCAAAAAGCAAAACAAAAAAATAACCACTGCCACTTGCTTTCTCAGAGAAAGGTCAGGTTGTGCCTCAGAGTCTGGAGATGGCACAGTGACATCAGACATGGTGTTAGGGATTGCAGCCTGCTCTCAGGGGACTCCTGGGGACGGCAGGGTAATTGTCAGCAGCACAGGTTGGATCTGATGGAGGTGGGCTCGAGGTCAGTGTGGATTCCTTCACTGAATCAGTCATATCCTTGTTTTGTGCCTCCGTAGTCTGACAAGGGCTTTCTGTGTTCGCCCCGTTTGTTCCCTGAGGAAAGGCTTTTGTTAAACAGTGAGGTCACTTCATCTCCATAAGTGACTCACTGGAGCAAAACTTGAGTGCGAGTTTGAGACCATCTCCCCAGAGTGGAGGACGTAGGCAGCTCGTCTTGCCTTTTCACGATTTGTTCAAGGCCCCACATTGAACTTCTTCCCTCTGTCTGCTTCCTCTCCCGCAGAGACGGACGACTATGCCGAGATCATAGACGAGGAGGACACCTACACCATGCCCTCCAGTAAGTAGAGCGGAGTACCAGATGGTGCCTCACATGTACGACTCGGACGTAGTGCTGGCCCACTGGAACGGTTCTGAATGCTTCCTTCAGTGCCTAGCAGAAATGTTCTTTTCAGCTACATTTTATGGTAGTGTAGAACTCAAGGCTGAAACTCAGATGTCTGTCCCAGAGCTGTTGAATGGCAGGCTCTTTAAAATCTTGTTTTCTGCCTCTCTGATAATGCTGTCTTTATTCATTAGCGTCATCACAGCCCGTGGACAGTAACTGTTACCCACATAGTCAAAGATTTGCATTGTGCCCTGAGACTGTGCTTTGCTGCCCTTGAATAACCAATTTGGCAGCTCCCAGCCTTCAAACCTTCCCCATGGGGGCAGGAGGTGGAGGGAGGGTCAGCACTTCTCCAGCACCCACTTGCAGCACCCTGGAAATGTCTGTGTTGAGCTGCTCCCCAAGACTGAGGAGCCTCCAATTGTCTGTCAGATTGTATACTCCCTCCTCTCGGTACCAGAACTGCCCTTAAAATATCACTCACGTACACATTTGCCCCTGCCTCCTAAAGAAGCCCAATTTGGAGGCCACCCTCTGGCTTGAGAATTCCTCCCCATTCAACACATAAAGCCAGGATGTTGCAGGTGTGACCTTCCCAAAGCTGCTTTCCTTGGATTTACTGTATGCATTGAGAGGACATTACCCACAGCGCTGGAGCATGTGTACTTCCTGTGTCCTCTTTTCAAGAACTCAAAACAGAAGCAAGAACTGAAAACTTATGTGTACATTTTGGCAGGCGGTAGCAATTTGCAATGTTTGAATTCAGGTTATAGTTTTTAGCTAGCCCTTTAGTTATTTGTATGTTCCTGCAGAGAATCTCAATTTTATTTCTGTTTTTATTATTTAAACATAAGTAGTAAGTATCCAATATGGCCAGCTTGTATCCCCAACCCACTCACTGACTCAAGTCAATTACAAGTCACCATGACGCTATAGGACAGAGTAGAACTGCATTGACGCTGCCTCATCTTTCTCACAACTATATCCAGACCCCCCAAAAAAACTGAGTAGTAGTATTTATTGGTGTTAAGTGCCATTGAGTCAGTTCGAACCCACAGTGACCCTGTAAAGGGTTTCCAAGGAGCAGCTGGTGAGCTTGAACCTTGCAGTCCAAAGTGGCCTTGGGGTCCAGTGCATTACCCCACAGAGCCATCCCAGGAGGAGTGATATGAGACGTTGCATGTTCCATGACATTTGACAAACGAGACTTCATTTGAACTGGTGTTTAAAACTGTTTGTATCTTATTTGCATGCTTGTAGAACAGTCTGATGAGGTTCTAATTGTTATTGTCTCTAAGCAAGGTCTCCCGTTTTCTCTCTCTCTCAATTGCAATACAGAAAGCTATGGAATAGATGAAGGTAACAGGACTCTTTTGAAATAACTGCATTTGCAAACCTGTGCAGTGATAAGGAATGTGTTCGTTTTCAGTTAACTTTCACTTTTAAACTATTTGTTATTGGTTTACTCATGCTGTTAAATCTATGGAATTACTAGCTAAAGTGATTTTAAAGAGGAAAACACACGTCTAAAATTCGGGGTGAGCTTCCTGTCTGATTTGTAATCTGATAAACCAGGCCGAAATTTTACAAGTATTTCACTAATGATGATTCTGTTGGTGATTACACTGATGGAGTCTGTGCTGTGTGGATTACGGGGATCTCTTCCTGACTGAAAGAAGTAAAGGTACTAAGACATTCGGTAAGCTGGTGCTCATCTACTGGCTGCTCAGTACATGGGCCTCAGCGGCTCGCTAAATCATTGATTTTGTATAAATCTCAACAATTAAAATTAATCTGAGCCAAATACTTTCAAATGTATGAAGGACTCGTAATTTATGTGTTTCGTATGGTCAACCCTGATTCCAAGTCACCTGATTTTTTAATTAGTTCTGCCTCTTTAAACTCTTTTAGCTCCATGAATAATAATAGAGGAAGGATTAAAATAAAGTGGAAAACTCTTAAATTTACAAAGTTTGCTAGTGATAAAATAGCAATTTTCATGTCACCCCTATATTTGTAAACTTTGGTTATTTACAAAATAACTGCTTTAAGTAACCTTTTGTAGCCTTTATCTATTAATACCTGAACTAATAGCATTTATTAATTGATACAACTTAATACTTTAAAGATCTATAAAATAGAAAAGAAACCAGCCATCCAGAAACTCCTAGGGACAGCGTTAAAAACAGTCTACCTCTAACGTAACCTACTGCTAGGGCTGTTCAACCAGGGAGCCGTAACTGTTTCCAAAATTCCGTTGTAAATACTGTTTAAGAGAGTTCCACTTGGCTGAAAACATTTTTGTGGATCGATGTGCCACAGATGGAGTCTTTATTCATGGATGATAAATGAAATGTGTGGGCTGTTATTTCTGTGCTTGGAATCTGGTACTTGTGTGTTATACTGATGTTTGGATCCTGTTTTGCAGCCAGGGACTATGAGATTCAAAGAGAAAGAATAGAACTTGGACGCTGTATTGGAGAAGGCCAGTTTGGAGATGTGCATCAGGGAGTGTATATGAGTCCAGTAAGTCCTTTAAGACTCCCAAAACCCTGTTTAAGTCCATTGCCTCTTGTTCATCTTCATGAATACCTAGTTCTTCTAGATGCATGGTGTTGTCTTTTATGAAGCCCAAACATGTCAACTTTCTTGGAACCTTCAGAGACCAACGCCCTGCAAGCTCGTCTCTGGAGCTCTGCTTTGTGCCTTGTGCCCGGCTCTGGTGATGACTACACTGAGAGTTATCACGGCCACTGTTTCAGCAACTGGTTACGTAATCTTGCAGGTGTCACCTGTATCTTCAAGGGGAAGAACTCGTCTGCCTCAGTGTACTCCCAAAAGAGATCAGTGATATTTTAGAACTCTTTTTACTTTTTAAAGAATAGCTTTATTGAGGTATGATTCACACACCATAAAACTGCATTCTCTTTTGAATGTACATTTCCGCGGTTTTTAGTAGATTCAGAGAGTTCTGCAGCCCTCAACCACAATCAGATTAGAAGATCTTTTGGTGGTGTTCCTGCTAGAAGCCGCCGAGTGGGTTCTGATTCACAGCTTACCCTGTGCACAAAGGAACACAAAATTGCCCAAACCTACGCCATCCTCACAATTGTCGTTACACTTGAGCACATTATTGCTGTCACTGCGTCAATCCATCTCTCTTGAGGGTCTGCCTCTTTTTTGCTGACCCTTTACTACGTATGATGTCCTTCTCCAGGGATTGGTCCTTTCTGACAACATGTATGTTTATCACTCCCAAAAGAACACCAACCACAACCCATAAGTCAGTAGTCATTCACCATTCCTCTTGGCAACAGCCTTTCTTTCTTCTCTGGATTTCCCTGTGTGGACATTTCACAGAAATGGAGTCATACATGTGTGGCTTCCTGGGATGGCTCCTCCTCATGGTTTTCAGGTTCACTTCTGTGGTAGCAGCTCACAGAACTGCTTCCTTGTTGGGGTCAAATACTGTTCCATTGTATGGATGGACCACATTTTGTTTATCCCTCAGTCAGTTCATGGGCTGTTTCCACCTTTTGGCTATTAGGAGTAATACTGCTTATGAGCATTCTTGTGCATGTTTTTTATGTGGACATTTATTTTCAGTTCTTATAGGTATGTCCTACTACAAGTGGAATTGCGGGGTAAAACGTTCTCTCTGTTTACTTTATCCTCAGCACCCGGACCATTTTCCATTTCTCCAGTAAGATATAAGTTCCAATAGCTTCACCTCCTCACCAATAGTTGTCGTTTTCATTAGATCAGTGACTTTTTTTTTTTTTTAATGTTTTATTGTGAATTATATAATAGTTTACATGAGAGAACTTTAGTTTTATATTCATTCTATTGTATATCGTCTCATACCCATGGTTCCAGTCCCCTCCATGCATCATCAACTGACCAAAGGGTATATCTTACAAACCCACCTCCCAGTCTTCAGCACACAGTCCCTCTCCCTCTCTGGATCCAATGCATCATCACTCCACCTCATCATCTCTGCCTTCATCTCAGGCATCACTGCTTCTCTGGATAGGGTCCCGCTCTCGGCTCTTCTCCATTGATGGTCCTAGAGACCTCCGCTCCTAGACTAGAGAGTTAATCACTCCCTTCCTCGCTATAAAACGTCTACCTTTACATTTCCAACCCTCACAATCAGTCCTGATAACAATTATTCACTATTGTATCACAAGTGACCCTTCTGCGTTTCATTTCATCAGCTCCGCCTAGACAGATTGGATAGTACTCACTGGAGATTCTACCTTCCTCCATGCCCCCTGCTCTAGGTTCCCTCTTGAAAGCTTGTAAGCCAGTCACTTCTTGCCTTTGTATCCCCTAACCCCCTATTTTGGGTAGCCAATGTCCAAGTTGCCCATCCCTGTCTACTCTGTGTGTGGAGGGGGTGGTTATGTTTCTTGCTGTAAGGATTTGTTCCCTCTTTTGAGCTACTGCTTCCATAGGTGTAGATCAAGTTCATCAAATTGTATCAGATTACTCTTTTTTTCCTCTTCTTTCTTCTTCTGGTTGAGCTCTGACCATCCAGTCATTGAAGTCAGGTCAAGTGGGTATTATCTGCAAGTGTGGGTGTTCTTGTGCATAAGCCCTCTCTTTTTATTCACTGCACACTTCATTCTCCACATTGTAGGGCTTAGCTCGCCACTTCATTGCTGTTTTTCCCTCACTTCCCCTTAACTGTGTCGAGCGTGGTCACTAATCAGAGTGTGTATTCCCATTGAGTCTTATTCTTGGAAGGGGGTTTGCACTGAGGGGACCCGACCACTTGCCTTGATGTCTCCTGGGCAAGCAACTTGTTTGTTTTTGTAGTAACAGTCCGTCTGCCTCTATTGTTTTGTATTTTCCCTGTAGGTCTTTCTTTCAAGAAGTATCTTCTGTTTTTCTAGCCACTCCAGGTTGGTCTGCTCGTCCTTTCAAGTAGAAATTTCCCATCTCTGGAGATCTGGATGTGGTTCAGGCTTCTACCTATAGTCCCATGTATTGCAGAGGCTCCACAGGAAGCCTCCTTCACTGGGCACATTGTAGCCCCATTTTAGGTATTCCAATCAGTTATAGGCAGAAGACGGACTTACAAGCTTTCTATGGTGATGTTTCTGACTATTCCTTTGTCTCCCCCTCCAGTGTCTATTTTATAATATAGTGCAAGGAAAACCAAGATTCAAAAGACAACAAAGCATCTTAGCATTATTCCCCCCTTTTCCCCATTCCACCCATGTCTCAATCTCTGTATCCCAGAGCCCTGTAGTTCCAAGGTTGTGCATACATCATTCTTGACCTCTCACTGTTCCCCACTGGGACAGCAGCTTGACAGGTGCCAGGGCCACAATATCCCAGGTCCTAGAGTTCCTCCTGGGATCCAGATACATGTGCATGTGCAGTGGGGGCCCTGGCGTGTCAGGACTTAGGCCTAGGTGGGAAGTGGTCTGTCTACACAGGGATGGAGTGACTTTCGTTACCTGGTGCTTCTCACCTACGTTCACTCAGGTGTATGAGAGCAGCTTCTCAGTAGTACCCACTGCACCTGGACAAGAACTGAATCTTGGTATTGTTTTGTCAGTAACACAGATGTCCCTTTGTGGTGCTGGCTTTACAAATGCCAGCAGATGGCAGCAGGCTCCCCAGGTGGCCACTGGGTGGTCAGGGACTGTGGAGGCCAGAGACCGACCTGCAAGCTGCCTGCACCAATTTACACATGTGCATTCTTTCCCAGAATTTAATAATGAGTCCTCTGAGTGCACAGTTCTCCATCCGTGTGTACGCAGTAC